TATGTTTGGGAAGCAGCAACTGCTTTTTTTACACCTTTTCCTCTCTATGGTTGTTAAGCAGCTGTTGCTTTTTTTTGCCAAATCTTCCCTCTCCTATCCTCTCCTTTGTTTTGCCGATGATGAAATTGTCTAAGTCCATACATTATATGGAATATGAGCTGATGATCAAGAACTTGTGAGGAACTTGGCATCATTAGCAGTCGCCCCTACATTACCTTCTCCTCTCTTCTCTGTTATGATGCCTTGATGCTCTAAGTTCATGATCAAATAATGATTGATATGTTTCTGATGCCTCTACTACTGCTACTACTCATTCTTTATATATTATTGTTTTATAAGACTACTTTGGTTTATAGACCTTTTTATTTCTTATACTTTCTCGCGTACCTAAAGCACATTTTCTTGCATCTATTACAACAAAGCGCGAAATAATATCGTGGACACCAGACAGTGTAGCCCGATGCCCCGAGCATGATGAGCAGCCAACCTATGAGGAGCAAGAACTAGAGGACCAGCTTACTTAGGAGCAATTCAATAATGAGTTAGAAAAGGATCTAGAAGTGATGCTTACTCAAGAGCAGTGTGACGAGGAGGAAGGGAGAGCAGAAGGAAGAGCAGGAGAGGCTGCTGAAGGCGAAGAAGAAGAGGATGATGATGATGATGACTCAGAAGAGGGATATGTAAGTCCCGATGATCCTTTCCCATGTGAAGCTAGAAGGAGGCCAACAGAGGAAGATTTGGACAAGGATTTTGACCCGAATGAGGAGATAGGGATAAAGCCTTAGCTTGTAAATTTTGCTAAAGCTTTGGCTGTGTTACCTCTGCTAACACTTTGACCTATCATATATATAGGTCCCTCCTAAAACTCAGAAAAGACGACATCGACGTCCGCGACATCTCACTGGACAAGACGGGGTAGAGGAAAGGAGAGCAGAGGCAACAGCCACAGAGACGGACATTGAGGCCTCTGCTCCACAACCTCAAGACACAACCATGACTACCAAGTCTAAGAGAAAATGAGGGGATAGAAAAGCAAATCAATATCTAGATAAGGCATGCTATATGATAACAGAGGTCGGGCCAGTAGGGGAGATCCTTGAGCCGAAGGAATTAAGAGGATGATTCCGTAATGCGATCGAGGCCCTAGTTCGAGATAAATTGAACCCAGCAATCCCTAACTAGAAAGAGGTACCAGAGAAGAAAAAGGATGAACTATGGGATAGACAGCTGAAGCTCAATTTTAGATTTTCAGAGGATAAGCATGAATTGGTAAAAAAATGCTTTCAGGATGATGGGAGAGTCATTTCGACGTTGGAGGTCGGAGCTCAACAAGAAGTATATCCAAAAGGGGTTAACTCCCTTCAACGAGTTCGGCAACATAACTCCTAGTCAATGGGAGGAGCTCGTGGCTCAGAAGACTTCACCGGAGCCATTGGAGCTCAGTGCCCGTAACACCGAGCTGGCGAAGAGGAACAAACACCACCATCATCTAGGCCCCGGTGGCTACTATGCCAAGGAAGAGCAGTTTAGAAAGATGGACGAAGAGGCCACAGCTGCTGGGAATATCGATGTGACGAATTTAAAGGTATGCTCAAGGAATTAGATATATGCGAGGAGTACAGAATCATTCGGCAGTAATCTTAAGTTTGATAAGCCGGAGACCCAAGAGGCAGTATAAAGGATACTGAAATATGTTGAAGACAAGGAGAAGGGCTCATTCAATCCTTCCAGAGAGAGGGACGAGCTTAGCCTTGGCTTGGGAAACAAGGAGCACACAGGCCGCACCAGGGGCTAGGGAAAAGGATGACCTAGAAGCAAGTATTTGAAGAGGATAGTCACATGTACAAGAAACATGGCAGAGACCGGGAGACTAATCTTGAGCTCCAAGTGAAGGCTCTAGTTGCGAAGGCGCTGGAGGAGCAAGGACTGTCTACGGAGCCACGGATATTAATGACGCCGCTAGGAGAACTGGCATTAGTTGGCAGCCCTCCAAAAGTTCCTAGCAGCCAAGGTTCCACTGCAGCCACAACCCCTGTCGATCGCATACGGGAACCAACTAGTTGCACCTTGGTGTTTCTCAGTGGTCGGTAGAACATTGTGATGGAGGTGGCAACGGGTGTGGCACATCCTCCCGGTGGCTTACACCATAATAATAAGATACCACCGGACTACACTAGAGTCGATGCGCATACCGTGAAGCCCGAGTTCATGTAGTGGAGGATAGACTACGCAACTCCCGAGGGGCTGGTGTTACTCGGAGACGTAATGGGGCAGTTCATCCTCTAGCACAAACGAGATATTATATTGACTGCTTCTTCGCCGCATCCCCCTCTCCCAAATTTGGAGCGAGTTGTTGAGGTTGGGGATATATTTTCACCGCCTCGTGACCACCACATTCCTGAGATGCCACATTCTTCTCCGCCTCCTAGCAAGCATGTGCCTAATAAGCCACAACCTTCTCTAGCTCGTACTGAGCAAGTGCATGATGAGATGCCACAGTCTTCTCAACAAGCACAGCCGATACATGAACAACGAATGCCTCCTGAAGAAGGTGATGCACAAGAAGATGAGGACGTGCCTGAATGGGAACTTCAAAAGAAGCATCCAATCATTATAAGACCAATTTATGTTCCAATGAAAGATGGCTTGTTGTTGTCCAAGTGGTATTCCCATGACCAGTTCAAGCCTGAGAACCAAGTTAAAAAAGTCCCATCACAAGCTTCTGAGGAGGCCGTCACTAGCAAACTCCACCAAACACCAAAGCAATATCCAAATGTTGATGCCATCAAATGGTCAAAGGATTGCCCGAAAACATATGAAAGAGGCAAGCCCTTCCTACCGAACCGGGACATCTAGCGCCTACCACTTGGAATGAGAAGGTTTCATGATTGGTACTTGCGTATTCTCCCAACGAGCATAGACCTCGTACAAGCATGCTTCCCCACCGGCACATTTGGAAGCCCATCCAGGAAAATTGTCTTTGACTTCAATGACATGCAGACATGCTTTCACCTCGGAGCAATGGAGATGAATCTAATTCGCACGTGGTGCCTGTAAGTCCTTGTCCTTCCGATATGATATGAATGTAATCTTTGAATTTTGTTGTAACTAACCCACGCCGTGATTTGTAGAATACAAGTGCACATTGCAAAACAAATGTCAAGTGTGAAAGCCGGGTATATAGACCCTCAAGCTATAGCACAAATAAATTTTAATTACCCTAAACAGTGGAAACTAGATGACAAAGAGCTAGCTGCTGGAAAGACCCTTCGGGAGAAAGAGCACATCCGTACGGCAAAACTAAGGGAAGAGTCCCTTAAGGTTTCGGCATACATTGCCCTGGCTTTTAAAATTCTCCAACAGCACTCTACTATATGGCTACCATACAACTTCGAGTAAGTTCAACTCTATACTTAAAGCTTTGTTCGATATATTTTATTCGATGTAAAATAGCTTATCTAATTCTATGATTAAATCCTTACAGCAACCACTGGATTTGTATAGGCGTCGATGTCGGGAGGAGCATGGCATGGGTCTTTGATTCAATAGATAGGGACCCGGTGACATACAAAGACTTCATATCGATTCTCAAAACGTATACATATCGACAATCCTCATTAGCTTATATGTTTGTATACATACTTATAACGTTCACTTTTGGATACTAACAAGTTGTATTTGCTAAAATAATTTAAACAGGGCATTTAGGTTCTATGTCACTAAACATCACGGAAGACATGATCTAGTAAGGAAGAAAAAGCTGGCTATAAAAACACTATGTGCGGTAAGTGTAACTTACTTCTTTAGTACTTCATTACATGACTGTCAAAAGCATTACTTAACATTTCTATATACAAAACACATAGTGCCCCAAGCAGAAGCCTGGGAAGTGTACATTGTGGATACTATGTATGTTCTATAATGAGTAACACCGGTGCCTACAGAAGACACCCTTTAAGGGTAAGTTTGAACCTCTTCACCCGTAGTATAAAAACTTCATACATGGTATGAAATACTAAACCGAAACTTGTTCACTTATAGTGAAAAGAAGAGAAAGAAATGAAAAAAGACCCATACAAGGATGACCAACTCTTAGAGCTCGTCGATGACCTTTATAATTTTATATTGGACCAGATTGTACACGTAAAAGGCACCAATCATGACCGAGAGTCTGACTTAGGTAGAAATCCTCAGTACCAACACCTTCGTGAGACCGAAAGGCTAGCTCTAGGACATTGATAACAATGCGTATGGAATTTGACATTGGTTTTACCTTGTGAATTATGTCTATTTAATGATGGATTGTATATATTCTTATGAATTGGACTTGTAATTGTAGTTTATATAATACTCTTGTGCTTGTAGTTTATATAATACTCTTGAGCGAACGTGGTTCGGAACGTTGGTCGCGGGGCGTTCGGTGGGACGTTGAGCGAACGCGGTTCGAACGTTGATTGCTCACTCGCAACGCGAACGCGGGAATACGCGGAAACAAACAGGGCGGTTCTGGTCGAATTTGAATTGTAAATTTGAATTTTTTTGCAGAAAAACGTAATGTAGGGGCGGTTCTAGACTGAACCACCCTTACAAACATGTATTATAGGGGCGGCTGGTACTACAGCCGCCCCTACAAATTGAAGTACCAGCCGCCCCTACAAATTGATTTATAGGGGCGTACCAACCGCCCTTACAAATTGAAGTACCAGCCGCCCCTATAAATTGATTTATAGGGGCGGTCTGGGAACCGTCTCTACAAATACATGATTTGTAAAGACAGTTTGGTAGGAGCGACTGACCAAACCGCCCCTATAAATAGTCTTGGAGCCGTCTCTACAAATGATATCTGTAGCAGTGGTTGAGCGGGTGGTATATTGAACAAAGAGCGACAAGTCCCAATCACACGCACACGCACACATTGGGGTTCGGCTTAATTAAAGGTACTACTAGGTGACAACAACGACTAGAAACTTGTCTTCTTCTACAGCGGGGTGGCCTAAGCCTCAGTAGTAGCGGTGGCGGTTGGCAGGCTCCTTCTGCGCGTTGAAGTACATGGCGGCGACTGGGAGGCCTAGGTCATGGCGGTCGGCGAAGGCGCGGTTCCTGAACCGTGCGCGCGACGCCTCCACCTCTGCCCCGGGCGCCAGCGCCGGCGGAGCCATGAAGCGGGCCTTCTGCTGGTACACCACCAGCACGTAGCGGTGGATGCCCGCCGGCGGGCACGGGCCCAGGTACGGCACCACCGTCTCACCTGAAGATAATGCGGAAGAGCGCGTCAGCAACGACCAAATAAACAAGAGTGCGTGCTGCGGACACGTGTAGACTGGTGGAGCTACCGATCAGGGAAACATGGAACTTTACGAAAATATCGCCATCAAGACAGCTTCTTTTTTTTATTCCTTTTGTTTTAGGAAAAACCAAGGCAGCTTCACGCACTCGATCTTTTGACAATAATTCAGAGAATAAACAAAATCGTGAATTCCACGTTCGCTATTGATTCTAAAAGGAAGTGTCATAATAAGCTCCATCGTAATCCATCGCCAATACATCGTAATTCATTAAAAGGGATGACGAAATTAATAAAAAAATACTCACAAGAAGGGGGAAAAAATCTTAAAGCATGACTACTGACGCCAAGTGATCACTGACATGCATGAAGCACAGAATTAAGTGAGCTCCGACGAGATGGTCAGCTGATTTGTCAGTCTAATATAATGAGATGATGAACAGGTACCGGCCAAAAGGACGCTAGATAGCCAGGGTGAGGTGAGCAACTGAGCATGCGTGTGTTACACCGACTGGTGGCCTGTTGTGCAAGGCTGCTGAGGATGACGCGGTGCGGAGCCGCGGTCGACACGCGTCGTGGGAGGCATCGTGCACAGTGGAGTGGAGAGGAGGCCAGCAGGTAACGTGTGCCGACGGGACCCCCGCCGCCGCCAAGACCTGTGCTTCCGGGGCTGGACAGGTTTCCGCCGCCAGCTCGCACCTACTACTGTCGACCGGCCTGCAGCTATGTAGGAGTACATTCGATGGATCGCCGCAAAATGTTGCTGCAGCTCTCTAGACAGCAGCCCAATCGACTTCTAATGCTTGTACTACTTTGAATCAGTCAAAGATTAAGCAAAAGCAACTGACGTGACACATAGATGTACACACACAAGTAAGCTGTAAGCATGCCAGCAGTCGTTTTCGTGCATATGTTGTTTACCTTGACAAGGATCTGCTCCACCTGGTATGTTAACCACCAGCCTATAATTTGCACGCAGGAGGTCGATCCCCAAAAGTAGACGGAAAAATTAGCAACAGAAAGTAGAATGCAGTACCATGACAAGGAAGCAAGAGGTTACCAGTGGATCAACTCCCTCATCGTTGGCTCGCTGGGGCTCGGAGCATCTGGGTCAGTCATGACCTGATCACACGTACAGATAAACACACGCGCAGTGCGCGCGGATCGGAATTAGTACCACGCCTCGTAAATGTTTAGTTTATCATTATCAACCAGCTGCATGCTAAAATAAATAAGAGCACCGTCAGTACTGACCAGGGTGAAGAGGTCGTTGGCCTTGCCGGCGATCTGGACGGCGGGAGCGGCGGCGGCGATGGATGGCTTGATCTCGCAGCCGTTGGTGAGGTCCTTGGTGCCGAAGTGCACCGACATAGCCACCGTCGGCACGAACAGGTCCACCACGTCGCCGATCACCCTCCCCACCACCAGCGGGTCCACATGGGCAGCCATGGCTGGACACACAAACTCCCTGCTGATGGCTCAGTCTACCTGATCGGGAGCTACTGTGTGATATTAGCTAGAGTGGAGATTGTGAGCAGGGGTCACGGAGTATTTATAAGCTGGAGATGGAGGGTGGTGGTGGTGGAAGGATGACATGGACATGTTTGGTTGATGACTATGAGAAAGATAAGTATGCATGGTGATGATGTTGCTGCTGTTGATTGTCTGTCACTTGTCCCATGCATGCCAGACACTAGTAGCTAGTGGAGAGATTGTGTAAGGGGATCCAGCTGGTTATCTGGCAAGGCTGCAGATCGATTGCGCGACACCTGGGCGAGCTTAGCTGTTCGGACCCACGATTTCTTCTTCCATGCTCTGCTGCTTGGCTTTTTTTCTTTTCTTTTGTTGTTCAAGCTCAGAGACTTTCAGTATCTCTCCTAAAGCAAGTGAGATGAAATGGAAGCATCACAAAAATCAGATCGGAAACACTGCACATAAAATTGAAACCGAAAGGCTTACTTTTGTCGACCGCATAGGTACACATAACGGAAGGGGCGGTTGCTTCTGTCGAATATGTGCTCATATCAAGAGGAACATACAATAGAATAGTGAAAAATGTGAAGTATTGGACAATTATATACTTCATCTCTTCAAATCAACATATGCTCATAATGCATTAACACCTAGCTAGAGTTTACTATAGTAATTTCAACCATTAGATTTATTCAAGACTATTTTTGCAATAGTGAGCATACATGCATTACAAAGTCTCGTCATGTAATAAAAGGCCTTTGAACCATATATGAAGTTGTTGTGTTGATTGTCGCTCGCCTTATTGTCCCAAGTATGTTAGAGAGTAGCTAGTGGAAATTGTGTAAGGGGCTCTGGTAGGCCTAGTTACCTTCAATTGCATGACACATGCGGGCAAACCATGCTATTTGGCACCCATGATTTCTTCTTAAATCCTTGCAAGCTTAACTTCTTACCTCTAATATTAGAGACGTTTTGTGTCTCTGCTAAAGCTAGTGAGATGAAATCGAAACAACAACTTCAAGCTGGAAACAGGGCATAGAAAATTGAAACAGAGGGGATTGCTTTTGTCTAATGCATAGGTAAACATAACCAAGGCCTTGTTCGTTTCATCCCCTCAAAGCCCCTTGGTTTGGGGATGAAATGAATAAGGCCTAAAGGGGTTGTTTTCTTCTATTCACTATGTGCTCAATAAGAGGATGAAATGGAGTAGTGAATTTGTAAGTGTTGAGCAATTATACCATTCCATCTTATCAAATAAATAAAAGTTAATATTATATTATTCCAAATATTTAATAACTACCTAGCTCCAATCTTTAACAACATTAGTATAGGTGCTCCAACAATAGTGTCACTGAACCATCAAATTTGTTCAAGTTTTTTTTAAATAGTAGCCGACATTACTCTACAAATTCTCAACACATAAATAAATGCCTTCAAACCATTAGTTAATTTGTGTGGTTGATGGACTACCACAATTTCCCCAAGCATGACAGAGAGTAGCTAATGGAGAGATTGTGTAAGGGGCTCCGACTGGTTATCTTGCAAGGCTGAAGATCGATTACGCGCCACGTGAGCGAGCTTAGGTGTTGGGACCCAAGATTTCTTCTTCCATGCTATACTTCATGGCTTTTATTTTCTTTAGTTGTTCAAGATTTGAGACGTTAGTGTCTGTGCTAAAGCAAGTGAGATATGAAACGGAAACAACACAAATTTCAAGCTGGAAACATGGAATACAAAATTGAAACTGAAAGGTTTTGTCGATCGCATAGGTATACATAATGGAAGAGGTGATTGCTTCTGTCGAATATGTGCTCATATTAGGAAGAAGATAGAACGTAGTAGGAAAAATTTGAAGTGATCGACAATTATATACTTTCATCTCTTCAAATCAACATATGTTCGTAATCCATTAACACCTAAAGTTTACTAACTACCTAGCTCAAACCTTTAACTGCATGCTATAGTATTTTCAGCTAGGGATGAAAATGGGTCGGATACAGAAGGATATCACTGATATTATATTTGTTTTCATATTTCTGTCTCAATTTGATTCGAATACGGATAGTGTCAACTATGCCGGATAAGATACGATTGGATATCGACATCATAAATATGCGATTTGAGTATTTGGATACGGATATGGTATCGGATGTTGAATATCTAGACTCGGATATGGACAGATGAAAGGTCCTAATGGCTAGAGGGGGGGTGAATAGCCTAATAAAATTCTACAACAACACTTAACAAAATGTGTTAGACAATTTTGCGGCGAAGCGAGTGTTGCGCTAGCCTACTAAAATGCAAACCACCTACCACAATTCTATTTCGAATAGTGTATGTCCACACAATAGCTATGACACTTAGCTAAATTAATGTGCTCTCAAAGACTAACTAAAGAGCAACACTAATCAAACAAACAAGCTCTCACAACTAGCTACACTAAAGAGCTTGATAACTAGTTTACGGTAATGTAAGAGTGAGCAAGAGAGTTATACCGCCGTGTAGTGGTAGGAACCAATCAATCATAATAATGAATACCAATGTAGACCAATCACCTCGAAATCAAATGATGAACACAATGATTTTTACCGAGGTTCACTTGCTTTTACCTAAGCTAATCCTCGTTATGGCGATTCACTCACTTGAGAGTTCACGCTACCGATTGGCATCACTCGCCAAACCTTCAATAGGGTGCCGCACAACCAACACAAGATGAGGATCACACAAGCCACAAGCAATTTACTAGAGTACCTTTTGGCGCTCCGCCGGGGAAAGGTCAAGAACCCCTCACAATCACCACGATCGGAGTCGGAGACAATCACCTCCTCCACTCAACGATCCTTGCTGCTCCAAGCCGTCTAGGTGGCGACAACCACCAAGAGTAACAAGCGAAATCCGCAGTGAAACACAATCACCAAGTGCCTCTAGATGCAATCACTCAAGCAATGCACTTGGATTCACTCCCAATCTCACTATGATGATGAATCAATGATGTAGATGAGTGAGAGAACTTTGGCTAGGCTCACAAGGTTGCTATGTCAATGAAAATGGCCAAAGATGTGAGCCACAGCCGGCCATGGGGCTATAAATAGAGCCCCAGTCAAATAGAGTCGTTATACCCCTTCACTGGGCAAAACGCGCTCTGACCGGACGCTCCGGTCATACTGACCGGACCCTAGACACAACGTCCGGTCCACTGATTTTTGCCACGTGTCATTCCGAGTTAAAACTGAACCGTCAGATCTTAACGGCTAAGTATTGACCGGACGCTCGAAACAAATCGACCGACGCCGGAACCACAGTCGTCCGGCCGAAAGTACTGATAAGGGTCCAAATCCATTTTTCTTCGACCGGACGCGTTCGGTCCACCTTAACCGGACTCAGCCAGCGTCCGGTGGTATACCCTAGCCACTATACCGCCGAGTCAGCGCGACCGGACGCAGGCAGTCAGCGTCCGGTGCAAACAGATCCAGCGTCCGGTGCTTTCAGACCCAGCGTCCGGTCAGAAGACCGAAGCCAGCGTCTTCGCGATCAACTCGTTTTCACTTCTAACTTCTTCACCCTTGCTCCAATGTGCCAACCACAAGAATTTGCATCCGGCGCAATAGAAAATAGGCATTCCTTTTTCCCGAAAGCGCCGAATCCCGCCGAGCAACCCATCTCAACACTGCAAACACCACCTCCTTTGTAAATGTGCCAACACCACCAAGTGTATCACCTTGTGCACAAGTGTTAGCATATTTTCACAAACATTTTCAAGGGTGTTAGCACTCCACTAGATCCTAAATGCATATGCAATGAGTTAGAGCATCTAGTGGCACTTTGATAACCGCATTTCGATACGAGTTTCACCCCTCTCAATGGTACGGCTATCAATCCTAAATGTGATCACACTCTCTAAGTGTCTTGATCACTAAAACAAAATAGCTCTTACAAATTATACCTTTTCCTTGAGCTTTTTTGTTTTTCTCTTTCTTCTTACCAAGTCGAAGCACTTGATCATCACCATGCCATCATCTTTATCATGCTATGATCTTCATTTGCTTCACCACTTGGAGTGTGCTACCTATCTCATGATCACTTGATAAACTAGGTTAGCACTTAGGGTTTCATCAATTCACCAAAACCAAACTAGAGCTTTCAACAGATCTTAGCCCCTCTAAACGGATTCGGTCTCGAATACAGTCGAAAAATATCCGTACCGTTTTCATCCCTGTTTTCAGCCATAGAGTCATTGAACCATCGGATTTATTCAAGACTATTTTTGCAATACTGAGCATACATACATTACAAAGTCTCATCAAGAAGAGGATGAAATGGAGTAATAAGATTTGTTAAGTGTTGAGTAATTATACCTTTCCATCTTATCAAATCAATAAGTGAATAGTATATTAGTTTCCAATGTTTAATAACTACCTAGCTCCAATATTTAACAACATTATTATAGGCGCTCCAATAATAGTAATTCAAGAATTTTTTTGCAATAGTAGCAGGCGTTACTCTACAAATTCTCATCAAATAAAGAAAGACCTTCAAACCATTAGTTAATTTGTGTGGTTCCCTAGCATGACACAAACCAGCTAATGGAGATATTGTGTAAGGGGATCCAGCTGGTTTCTTGCAAGGCTAGAGATCGACTGCGTGACACGCGGGTGAGATTAGGTGTTGGGACCAAGGATTTCTTCTTCCACGCTCTACTACTGGGCTTCTTTATTTGGTTGTTCAAGCTTAGAGACGTTAGTGTCCCTACTAAAGAAAGTGGATGAAATGGAAATAGCACAAACTTCACACTATAAACAAAGGCATAGAAAACTAAGGCCCTCCTCCTTCGGTGTGGTGGCCCTGGGGTGCACGGGAGTATGGGTATGAAGCCCCCAAGTCCAATTGAGCACCGAAATAAGCATGATGGGACCAACAATCCATGATTAGGAATATATATATATATATATATATATATATATATATATATATATATATATATATATATATATATATATATATATATAGAACCTCTTTGAGCCTTTGATCATGGATTACTATGTTAATTTACGACTATAGCAACCAATGGTGGGTAAATATGAGCTTGAGAGTGTGTTCTAAATGGCATTATGCCATAGATTGTAAATAAAGGTGAGGTGGCACTCTGTGGGACCATATATATATATATATATATATATATATATATATATATATATATATATATATATATATATATCCTCTCTTGTTTGATGGATCATGGTGGGGCTTGTGCCATAGATTGGTGAGGTGGCACTGGTGCGACCACGTCCGGTGATGCATGGTGGGGTTGGCCAACCCCACCAAGTGGCCCCTGATGGCCTGCTTTGTCCCACTTGCTTCTAGTGCTTGATTTTTTATGTATTCGCATAGTTTGCTAGCATAGGCAAAGATTTCCAAGTACAAGTGAACCATGTTAATTTTGGTGTTGCTTATTCTATCACTTTTGGTGCAATGTTGATGGTCAAAACTGATGTTTAATGACCATCAACACGCCCCTTGTTGCATTGACCCAATGGGTACTTTGTTAGGACCGTCGATGCTACCGGCGCCGATTTAATTGACCCAATGGGTACTATGCGTCGACCCACTCATCATATTAATAATCTTTTTCTTTACTTTATTGGTGTTCTTTATTTTTTCCAACAAACATGATTGGTCATAACTTGTAAGACCATTTGTTCTTGGAAGTACAACGAGGAATATCATATTTTGGAAGTAAAATTGATAAAATTAAAATCATGGTTCACTTGCAAACTTTTTTAATTTGATGCATTACTAATAATATTAATATATTATTATGATATTTTTTAATTTTGATATAATATTATGATATTTTTAATCTTGTATCTTATCTTTTCTCAAAGTGTTGATAATATCCATAGTTTATGATTGAAAAATACTTTTATTAGGAGATTGTAGAAAAATATTTGGTCCGACTCATACCACTCAATGAGTCATGGAGGCTATAGCATCTATGGCAAATGGGTCGACCTATGACCCCTAAAATTGGCCTTGAGGCCACGGTGCCGGGTCGGCCCATTTCCATGTTGAGCGTGGACCGTGGAGAGTGGACAAGGAGTTGTACACGTAACCAATGTGGCCCGATGTGCTCGGTACTTTCTAGCCTAACATGTTGCTAGCACAAATGGATCAAAAAGGTCCTACGGATGATATACACTCGACCCGAAATGGACACTTAGCGATTAAATCCCGATTCACAAAACCCTAGCGACCTCGATTCCTCCCCGGCATGGCTGTCGGCCCCTACGCTCTCCGCCTCTCCCCGCCGCCGCGGCTCGATGCCATGCTCTTCCCACAGCTGCGGCCTCACCTACGCTGCCGCGTGTCCGCTCGGGTAGCTGCCGGCGGCACCAGCTGGTCTCCCGCCGCCGGTGACTCCGAAGACGGGGTCGGCGGCTGGTGGTTTCCCGAGTACGAGAAGCCGATGAAACAGGGGAGGAGGAGGATTGGTAGACTTATCGTTTTTAGACAAGTAGATGGTCAAATCTTTCTCCCTCGAGCAAATTTTCTGTTTTTATCGCGGGGATTGTTGTTGATTTGTAGGGTTTGGGAGAGCTGTCGTGGTTGGGCTGGGAGCTTCTGTGGCGATCGCCTTGGCTGGGCTGGCGTGGCGCTTCTCATCCTCCAGGAAGCGTAAGTTCATTACCTTCTGTAGCTTCACTATATTCATTCCCCTGTTTGCGTCCATGTGGTTCTGAAATTTCAACTTTAGATTGCTGTCCTTGTTCTTTTAATCTATTTCTAAATTTTCTGAAGGTTGTGATACTTTTACTTGCAATGTATCATCTAGTCCACCTGTGAAATGATAGCATTTGAGATTACTCAACTCTCACATTGCCAGGATCCATGTTCCATATTTGAAGTTGGTTTACCACTGTGCTTCTATCATGGCATAATCCTTTTACTGCTTACTTCTTCAGATCGTCTTGAAAAATATTATTACAAGAGACACTAATTGAAGTTCTAGTTAGGTTTTGTAGTGGGATGTAAAGCTGTGACAGATTAAGAAATATCTGCAGCAGCTAATATCAAGTGGATATGTGGATGGGCACAGGACCTAGTTGTCGGAGTTCTGGTCCACAAGGTTTCATGTACCTTGGACTCGGTTGGTCACTAGCGTGCCTCATTTACTCAGAATCAACATGTCTGTGCATGATGTGTGCATGTTCACTTTCAATGAGGTCGAAACATGACTCCACAGCCTTTGACGTGTGTAGCAGGAAACATAGAATGTGCATGCATATGTGAGTGGGGTATGTTCATCGTATCTTGTACTCTCGAAAGAAACCAAAAATTTGTAGGGTACAAAGAGCGTTCATGTTGTAACAATCTTTATAAATGTGTGCAATGTTACAATTTATTCCTTTTTGAAAACCTTTTTGTATTGCAATAATGGTGGTAGCTGTTCTTCCTTTTGGATTTGCAGTTTAGGGAAGTCTGTTTCTTTGTTAGAGAATTTGGGTTCTATTTGGAATACAATCGCCATTTGTTCTGTAAAGAGAACAAAATGAATTAGGGAATGGTGCTGATTTTCAGGTATACAGCAACTCATCGTTGCTCCATTACACTATGTTCAAGAGAAAATGTCAACAATGGAGTCAACAGAGACAATCAAGGAGGATGCAGGTGACAGGGAATATGATGAAATTGAAGTTTCTAGTTCAGCGCATGATAAGAAGGCTGAAGGAATAACCGATGATTCAAGGCAAAACTGCAGAACAACAACTGCCAGCCATTTTCCATTTGGAGTTCCTACAGATCCTGTACATGAGGAGGCTTTCTCTATATTGAAGAAGCTACAGGTACTATTCATTCTTATTAGTTTGACCTATACTCAAGGTTATTAAGGCGGTAAGGCTAGGTGTGGCGAGCTCAGATGCCTAGGCGTTTAAGGCGCGAGGCGAGGCGACTCCATACAAACATCTTAATATATAATACCACTAGAAATCAAAAGCAAATCATACCATATAATACCATAATAAATAGTGCTGCTAGAGTAACAGGGCACAGCATAAAGTAGGAAAATAGCAAATCTGAAATTTCTCATCTCTCAATAGCAGAAAATTAGACTCTAGTGACATAACATAACATAGCAAATCTCTCATCTCTCATCTATCAGCTGTAAAAACAAAGATGGACTTATGCATCCATAGCAGCCACAAATAGCAAGCAACCAGCAGAGCAGAGTACAAGGAGCAGAGTAGAGGAAGAAGGGGAGGAAGAGCAGAGCTGCAGTGCAAAGAGGGGGGGGGGGGAGCAGAGCCGTAGAATTAAGAGGAGGGGAGGAAGAGCAGAGGAAGGAGAGGGAACCTGCAGAGGAAGTTGCAGACACGAATCAGGGAGGGCTGCAGGCAGCGGACGGGCAGAGAAGTCCTAACTCCCGAATGCGGTCGTGGATGGGCGGATGTCGCGGTCACAGATGGGGACGGGAGTCGCGGTTGCGGATGGGCACGGGAGTCGCGGTCGCAGGCGCTGGTGCCACCGCCGGATTTCAGGTGTGCGGCCCGCCCTCTTCTCTCTCCCTCTCTCAACTCGGCGCGCAACTCCCTCCCTTTTACCTCTCCCGCGCGCGCAGCTCCCTCCCTTTCTTGCCCGCACAACACCCTCCCTTTCCCGCACGTGCAGCTCCCTCCTTTTCCCCGCGCGCGCCTTTTCTGCCCGGTGGCGTCCGCAGACGCCTTGGCGACGACTTTTGCCCCAAGGCGACGCCATACGCAAGGAGGCCGCGGCGAGTAGGACGCCGTGATTCAAAAATCGCTCGGACTAGGCGACGCCTTAATAACCTTGCCTATACTAACCAGAAATCTAGGTCAACCAGGACATGCGCGAGTGGGATGTGGGTACCGGGTTTCTAAAAACACACTTCGAAGGGGTTAGTTCGGATTGAGTGGTTTCAACTACTCTGGGTCTATGGCCTTTGATATGCTACGAATGAGTAGTTACAGAAGATGAATACAAAGCTATAAAAAAAGGATTGGGTACATAATGGGTGTGAATGGTTCCTTGGAAAATTCGAAGCCTGCATAAGGGATAATTCAGGCTAGCCCAAGCCAGTCTTACTGTATGTAATATGGTGGTGTTTGGTTGGGTTGCATGGGGCATTTTGCACTGAGTAAGCATGTGTTTAATTGGGTGCATAAGGGCTGGGCTGTATGGTTGAACACAGAAGATTGTGTTTGGTTGGTTGTATTTTACATGTTGTGATCACCTGGATGATCTCATGGTGATCTTACCACCCCAGTGGAGGCCTTTCTAACCATATCTGACATGTATATCCCTAATAACCTAGGACTTATTCTCACGTCATATTTTACACAATATTGGACATTTCCACTCACTGTTTGATTAGTTAACAAATTATGAGCTGAAGACTTCATGTTGTAGATGAGCTGAAGACCAATGAGCATAATGTGCCTTTGATCACAACTCAAACTTGTACATGGAACTGTAAACAAATTGACCAAAACAGATCCAGATGCTGTAAACAAAAGCTTCTCCACCCAAAACAGCCCCAGTTTCTATGCAATCTTGTGCATTGTCGCATGAAGCCGTTTCTCTCTCTCTCTCGCTCCAAAATGAAACTAGCACTAGCTCTGGCAGCGCCAGATACTGTAGGGAGCTGGAGCTGGGATAAGCCCTCCCAAACAGCCCTAGATGGGCTTCTGTGCTCTGGCCCATACAACCTACCTAACGTTCTGCCCTAAGCCCAGAACCTCTAGTCTCTCTCTCACTGCCTATGCATGCTGCCAACAGTTTCCGTCTTCCTCGTTTCTCTCTGCTCCCAACTCCATCAGCACCACCAGCACTTCAGCGCTGTCCAAATTGGTCTTCCATGGCTAGTAACATTAGCTGCTCTTGTGCATGTCTTCACTCCAGTAGTCTTGGTTTCGCTGGAGACCTCCGTATCGACTGTGGCTGCACTGCTATCTGTCGCTGGTGGTGCTCTTATATGCTTGGTGCCTCCCAGATCTTAGCAACAGCATTTTCCTCCATAGTAATGGTGCGGCAACCAGCGACCCTTGTCACAGTGGTGGAGGGCGGATACAAGTTAAGGTGTGGCACAACTACATTGATAGAGCTCCATAGTTCAATTTATGGTGGAGACATATGGAAAAATACTAGGGAACAATGTTTTCTGATCGGCTTATCGTTCCTAATTGGTCTGGTACCGATTAGGACGATTAATCGACCTCTGATCGGTCTAATCGTCCATATAATCGTCCAGCATATAGCAGGACTATATAAGTATATATCATATATGTATGGTATATATATAATATACCATATACTATATATTTATATAGTAGACATCGAGCATATTTCTAGTTAGTTGGTTACTTACCTATGAGATCTGACTCCATATTCTTGTCCCAGCCTCCATATGTTTGCTGATTTTCTGCAGGAATAATAGATAACTTGAGTAAGTAGATGCAAAAGAATAGTGTGACAGACTGACAGCATTACAGCAGCACATACTCAATCCAGATCCAGAAAAGTAGGAATTAAGAAAACTAGCATAGTCCACAGCTTACTTAATATAGTACGAGTACTGAGTACATACTACAAACTAAATAATTAAACACTGCAAACAACATTCAGAGTTTTTAAGATAACACTAGCTGCCATTCAATCAGCATTCAGCAGCCCAGTAAACGGATGGGCTGCTCGGATTGGAACTGGAAGGGAGGGAGGAGGGAGTGAGATCCACGCAGCAGGGAAGAGATGGAGCTCAGCTGCACACACAGCGGGAGTGAGGAGTACTGAGGACTGAGGAGAGAAAGAGTGGGGGTGAGGTATATAAGAGAAACCCTAATGGGCCTGGCCCAAATAAATATAGCCCAGTAAACTGAAGTAGCCCATCTGCCTATTTAGTGCTGATCGGCAAAGAGACCTAATCGGACGATTAATCGCGAGTAATCGACGATTAATCGGACGATCAGGTTTCTGATCGCTCTGATCGAATCAGAGGGCCTAATCAAGTGCTAAGTACCGATAAGGACGATTAATCGCGATTAATCGGACGATCAGAAAACATTGCTAGGGAAAACCGAGATGCAAAAGAGGGAAATATGGTGCACTAAAGTCAAGGTATGGCAGAGACGCTACCTAGCCATATTGAGTCCTCTGCCACTGGCTTATCGGTTTGAACCCACTATTCAGGACGTCATCGATCCCAACTGACCCCTGTGACTATGGTTGACCAGGATCTAATGGCAGTTTTTTTTTCTTATGGTTCCTGAGATTCAATTGCATGAAGGTCAACTAGCTCGCTAGCACGATTGTTAAAAGTTGTTTATACACACAACATATCACTGTTTAAATATATTAAAAGTGGTCTGCACTTATCAATGTGTGGCTGTTTCAAATGTTATGTTGTTTCATGTATGCTGACTCATTCCTAATTTTATACTGTAGACAATATTTATTAGGAAAGCAATGTATTAATTATATTTTCCTCATATACTGTGCTTGATCAGATAATTGAGAAAGATGTTAGCTCCAGTGATTTTTGTACACGGAGGGAATTTGCAAGATGGTTTGTTAAGTTATGCTCAAAATTTGAGAGGTAATGGGGCGAGAGAGTATAAAATATATTTAAAAGCTATGCATGACGTTTGCTAGTTTCTTTATGTTACATCTTTATTTTTGCAATTTGTAGGAAAAGGATGCAAAGGATTGTTCCTAGTAAATTAACTTCTGGCGCAGTCCAATGTGCCTTTGATGATGTCAATATTGATGACCCAGACTTTCTATATATCCAATGTAAGTTTCACTGTTTATCATATTGGAAGTCTAGAAGGTCTTCCTACGTTTTAGAAACAATCCTCCCGATCTAACTATTCCGCATTGCATTTGCCAGTGTAACATGTAGTGAAATTTTTACAATATTGTCCATTTTCTTTTCTTTTTTCCTTACACTAGCTTCCCTTGAAGTTCCAGATTATGTTATTTGAGTAGCTGACACTGTAAATATCTAATTTTCTAAATTGGTGATGGAAAGCTTTAGGAGAATCTGGTATCGTATCGAGCAAGTTGTCAAGCTCCTTGGGAACATTGACAAGTGGCTCTCCTTCCAAGGGAAATTCCTTGTTCCTACCTGATAGGTACTATAGCCTGACATATGAAATTTGATTGTTTTTACTGTTCAATTTGTAATTGGAATGCCATTCTTAGCTATTTGAACTTTGTTGTTGTTGTAGTTACCTCTCTCGTTTCGATCTTGTCAATTGGAAAGTGCTTGTTGAGCATCCATTTGCATTGGAAATAGACCAAAAGGTACTCATATCTTTTATTTGATATTTTGTCCTGCAACTTTAGTTAGATGCTTTGTTTCATTCTTTTTGGAAATCCTGACTCTGGTTACAGTCCAGATGCTGAGTCAAAATGTTTGCATTTTGGATCTGCGTGCCTGCCCAGATGTGTCTCCGTCCATGCTCATAGAGCTAATGGCTGGTGAAAACAGCATCATCAGCAGAGTTTTTGGTATGATCTGTTAGTATTTATCTGTGTTTTTCAGTTACATGCAAGTTAACTTGCAACAGAAATAGTAAGAACAGGAGGACCTCCTTTTTAGTATTTAGATTGACCATTATAGTGATTAGAAACAACTTATTTTGGTTTCTTCTAGTGGTGTTTTTCAAGTTATGTTAATATGTTTCACTTTTCTGTTCACATGTGGAGGTATAAGCTTTTTTGTCCTCTATTCAAATGAATGGGGCAGTACTGAGAACTGTTCTCTAAATACTTTGTATTTTATGTTGCATTGGTTTGGCCTCAATGTTCAGGTGATTGCTTTGACATTAAATGTCAAACTCATACCTTTTTCTGCATATACTTGAGGCTGCCATGCTAGCTATTTTTAGTTAGTTTTAGTCATTCTCTTGAAAAAATTTCTTCTGGAATAAAATGATTTGATCTGACTTGGGCATGTATGAACTTACCAAACTGTACCTGATCTGTTGCTCTTAGTAGGCCTTACCCTCTTCTGGAGCTCATGACTATGGTTTACAATCTTGGCAATGCCAATGACATACGACAGTATTAGTTATGTCTGTTTCAACTTGCTATCTTTATTCTCTCTACAATCATGGAATGTTACAGGAAATACTAGACGCCTTCAACCAGACAAACCTGTAACTAAAGCGCAAGCAGCTGCTGCGTTAACCAGTGGTCGAATGAAGGAAGCAATTCAGGAAGAGTTAAATAGACTTGAAGCAGAAAACCAAGCCCATCTTTCTGTTATAGCTGAAATAATGGAAGAGTTAATTAGTAGGGGAGATATACAACAACAATGGGAGGAAAAGATGAAAAAGGAGCAAGAACGGGCTCTTGAAGTTGACAATAATCTTCAACATGTGTTGCATGAGCTTGCAAATGAGAGGACAGACAGAGAAGAGGAACTAGCAGACTTGTTGAAAGAAAGAGCAGATTTAGAACGCCAGAATCAGGAACTCATAAATTTAAGGTCAGAAGTTGATGGCATGTATGATAGATTGGCAACTGAGAATGAAGAGGTCATGGCTGATCAGCAAACTTTGGAAAACCAGTTGTCTGACTTGACCAGCAAGCATCAAGCTGTCAATGAAGCTAAATCATATCTTGAAGCTGAGAAGGAAGCTCTTACGATGCTAAGGTATGTATTCTATACAACCTTACTGTTTTGGTCATCGCAGAAAACAACTTCAATATGGTTGCATGGGACGCTCCCTAGGAAAAATGTGTGAATCATTGGTCATTGTGGACACACCTATTCATTGTGCATTTGTGCATGATTGTCTGGTTCGTAACTTCTTTGTTGGCTGCATTGAAAAGCCACATGGAGGAAAGCCAAGCTATAGCTATAGTTAATTTGGCTATGCTCTTTTTATTGGGTTGGCTAGCTGGTCAGAGGTTAAATTGTAGTTGGAGGCCTAACTATTTACATTTGAAATTTGTGGATTCTGATTCTTGGAAGTTCAAATTTAACTTCACAATTCGAAAAATGCAGAAAATCCAATATCATGAAACAAAAAGTTGATTTTTTTTGTTCTTTTCGTAAATTTCTATAAGTTGAACTATGAATTATGCTATTTGGTTATGTAATTTAGTTGTTGAAACTTAAAATTTGAATTCCTGTATTTCTATTATTCATAGTTTCATGTTTCTTTTTCTGAATTTCAGATGTTACAAGTTTTCAGTTTTCGAAAACATGAAATACAAACATTTTTTTTTGCATATTTCAAAAGTTCAGAATTAATTCCTATTTACATTGAAACCAAAGCAAGCTTTTATGCTGGTAAATCTACTCATCTGCATTTGTGGTAATTAAAGGAAATAGGGGCCTCATGATGCAATTTTAATGCGAAAAATAATATACTTAGCATTAACAACAGTCTTTTTGAAGAAATTATCAAGATGGTCAATGACTTTACTGTTACACGTGTTGTTTCAGTGTCAGCACTATGCTATTGATATTCTCTAACTGTGTTGTCGGTGCTGCATACCAACTGTAGAGCATTTATTTATCTAGCCTTGGTAGTCTGGGGCATTTATAAGTTCAAACACACTTAATTGTTGTACTGGTAGTCTGGTGCTCTTGGACTAAATCGAAAAGGGAAAAAAATGTCTTTTGGAACTGATATTACACATCTACCGGCTTATTTCAGGACTTGGGTGGAAGATGAAGCAGCACGTGTCCATGAACGAGCTGAGACACTTGAGAAGGCTTTGAGAAGATGGCGAATCACAGAAGATTGATCCCTCCAAACTAGTTTTGCATCGGTAAAGTCTTGCTCAAAGTTTTTGAAGCTCTTTGGCTCCAGAGTATCTGCCATCTGAATAATTCTCAATGGTATGGGATGGTTGTGCCTTAATCTTCTTTTAGTTTATTTTCCTTTGGTGCTTCTTGACATCTTGCTGCCATTCTGAGGGCAAACCGGCACCTGGAAACCTTTCCCGCATTCAATGTAGATATTTTTGATGCCTTGATGTTGTAGCTGTGCTCGTCAAGTCTAAACTGGAGCTTGGTACATTGGTGTACTTGCGTGAAACAGTGCAAGCCTGGAAGGATGTTGGTCCTTCAAATTTCATGCTATATAGTCTTGTCTTCAAGAAATTAAGACACGGTAGCTGGTCTTGTTCACTGTTCAAGTAGGTAGTGGACGTAAGAGACTTCAGTAGCAACGGATAAAACTGATTCAGCAAGGACTTTGTGGCCCGTATAAATCTGTCTCAGTGTGTTACCCTTCTGATTTCCTGCGCGGTGCGATACGCCGATCTTCACTGCCACGTTGATCTTCACAGCCGGGGTCAAAAACTCTAATAGTTGGCGCGCCAGGTAGGAGTGCTTTGTGCACAGACAACTTTTGTTTTAGATGAGGATCATCTTAAAACTTCGACGACGAGGAAAAGACGCATCCAAGTGATGACATCTTAAACTTCGACAACGAGGAAAAGATGCATCCAGGCGATGACATCACCTTTGACAGCCTGGACTCCAAGTGATGACATCTTAAACTTCGACAACGAGGAAAAGATGCATCCAGGCGATGACATCACCTTTGACAGCCTGGACTCCATCGCTCACCCGCTCAGGAACTTTATCCGCAGGAACCTGAACCACACGTGCAGGAGAGAGAACAATCGCCTTTCATCTACATGTTCCTTGACAAGCTTGAGAACACCATGGAGGCTTTTTTTTAGCAACACAGCTTTAATTAATCAGAAACAGGAGTACAATCTGCTAGCCCCAACAACCAATCGGGGACGTTGTCGAGCCAAAAAAGGGAGCGCTCCATGGCCGACACTATGCTTGCACGACAGTCGGCCACCGCGTTGGCTTCCCTACACACCCACTTAACTCTAAAATCAACAAAACTCCTCTGTGATATCGAAACAAAGACCTCCAATAGCTGACCTCACACTAGAACGGTCATCAAGTAAGATCTGCAATCCTCGGCAATCAACCTCCAAAAGAACACGATCGTAGCCATTCTCCACTGCTAACTCCAAACCCTCCTTCGCCGCCATAGTCTAGTCAAGGCATCCGGCACATCATCAAGCCACCACGCCGTATTGGAGTCACTACCCCCGCTCGACCAGTGCAAGTATTGGAGTCAAAGGCCGCATCAGTGTTCACCTTTATCCAGCCCTCATCCAGACGTTGCCACTTCACCTGCCTTCTCGGCTTCACCCCCTGGGGAGGCATCTTCAGCGAGGACAGCTCCTCCAACATACTCAATCCATTCCAAATTGTAAGACGTTTGACTTTTTTATATCAAGTTTGACCACTCGTCTTATTTAAAAATTTGTGTAAAATATCAATTCTTTTGTCGTGGTTTGGTTTATTAATAAAAATTCTTCAAGAATGACTTAAATTTGACTATATTTGCACAAATTTTTTAAATAAGACGAGTGGTCAAACTTGGGACTAAAAAAGTCAAACGTCTTACAATTTTGGATGGAGGGAGTAGATGATATGTACCGAGCTGTCGCCCCTGGCTCCCAAACCTTGCGGCCATGACGACGAGCATTCCGCCCAGTCCACAAAGTGCCGGCGCCACAGATTAGTGCAGCAGACGAAGAAGCGGGGCAAATATCTGCATGAAGAACGTCCGTCGCCCATGTACAAGGGTGAAGGTCTGGAATTCTCACCCTGTCAGCTTCTTGACTTCGTCCCAAAATCTTCTCGCCACAGGCCATAAGAGAACCACATGTTACATGGACTCATCCGGGTCACCACACATCTCACAAAAACTTTCCATGGCGACGTCTCCTTTTCAGCTCAGCTTTCGACGGCAAGGAATTGTGTAACACCCGCCACCAAAAAACATGAACCTTCGGAGGGACATTAAGCTTCCAAACTGCACTCCTGGCACGTTCATCACCCGAGGCCATAGTTTCACCCTGAGCAGCCATTGCCGCCGCCATTTGATCCTCCTTGAGCAGCCTGTACACCAAACGCACTCAGTAGATCCCATTCCTTTCAAACGCCTAAGCCAGTACTGTAACACCCTCGGTGTTACACCCTAAACAACCTGCTAAATCATGTCATGAGCATCATATTTATGTGACATTGCATGTGATAAAGAGTGTAGATGAATTGCTTGTAACCTAAAATGGTTGCTAAAAGTGTTAAAGGAAAATTGATCCAATAGTTCATGTTGTATCAAGTGAGGTTCAAAACCGATTTTTATTGGGCAAAAACATTATAAAACATACTTGTGTCACTTAAATAAAGTTTAAAGTACAAACTTTGTAGATAACAATGCAACTCTTACTGTAGAAAAATAAAATTGCTGGCTAGTATTTTTAGTAGCTTGGAAATTGAAGTTGAAATAAAAATCAGTCCTGGACTTAGCAAATTTCCTAAGTCTGAAAACAGAATGGCAGTGCCATGTTGGGGAATTAATTCTGAAAAATGTAGCTAAAGGCCAGTGCTATGTTATTGCTCCTAATGGTAGTCCAATGTACCCTCTTTGGTATGGTCTAGGTGGTTGTGACTCAATCGAGTTGGTTTAGTTGTGGTTGATACTTTAAAATTCGTGCACTTGAACGGCCTTGGGCTGTTTGGCCGGGGGCTGCGATCACCGCCTCTTCCGTAGCTTGGCATCGCGTGTGTTGCCGAGGCCATGCCGGCCGGGCCTGCTCCTGGCTTGGCCATGGCTGGGCGTGGCCGTCCACGGTTGGTCGCCTGCCCTGGCCGTGCGGTGCTGCTGCCACCGCGGGCCTTGCGCCCTGCCGCTCGCTGCGCTGCGGGCTGCCTGTAACACCTCTGGTGTTTTGACTTATCATTAAAAATTTGACATGTCATCATATGCATTGCAAAGCATTCATAAAGTAGAAAATGTTGAATGCATTCACTAAATAAGCTTTATTTCATAATGTTGTTATTTTATGTGATGTGATTCAAAACCCTAAATAAAGATCATGACCACAAGAGTCAAAATTCATGTGATCATGTGAGACCATATGTTAATTGACTCAAATAACCCTAATGGGCCATGTTACTGGTCAAAAATCAAAGTTAAGTCAAAAGGTAAACAAATTAAATTTGAATTCAACTTCAAATTATAAAAGTCCTTTTTGCCCCTTTTGTATATTTCAAAATCCATTTGGAATTTGGGGTGTGACAAAAAGCAAAGTTGAAGCTTATTTTATAAGGATCAACTTTGGTATTCAAAGTTTTTAAAGTTTACATATAAAGTTTGGAGTAATTTTGAAATGATTCAAATGCTCAAATGCACCCCAAATTCAAATTTTAAAATGGAGGCAGAATTTAAAAATATTCCTTGAAGCAAAGTTGTAGAGTTTGAAAAGTTGAGCAACTTTCATTTTTGAGATTTTCATCTTCTTTAGAAAATTTGAGAGTAATTTGCAAAAATGAACTCGCAAATCTGTAATTATTCTAACGATGAGCACGACCACCGCCCCCACCGCCCACCACGTCCCTTTTTCTCCGTCTTTCCAGCGCGCGTCTGCGACCGCCTTTGGCTTCATGTTGGCGCTGGGAGCACGCTTCGATGTCGATTCCAGCTCTCTGGTCGAGCTATAAGACCCAGACGTTGTCGTTGTCTTTTCTTTCTTTCCCTCTGTTTTCCCGACGCCGCCGTCTCAACTCCGGCGAGCTTCTCTTGTCTCCTCAGCGCAAGATAGCCCCGGAAAAACCATGTCCTAGTTTCGCCTGCTCCTTGCACATCCGACCGAGCTGTTGCTACCGATTGATTTCGCCGAGAGCTCGTTGTCCACGTTCATCTTCCTAGCGGCCGGCGACCTCGATCGAAACTCCGTTTCACCGCGGTCAGCGTCATCCGGTGAGCTGTTGCCCTTGCTTGTGGTCTCTACAGCTTCGTCTCGACGCTGTGATGCTTAATCCGTTCTTGCTTGGTCGTTTTGCTCACTGCAGTCACCGAAACTCCGTCGCCGACAAAGTTTGCTCCGCCGTGACCGCTGTCACCGTCGACCCGCGTCACCGTAGCTTCTCCGGTCTCGTTCTTTGCTTCAACACGTTCGGGGTGAGCTGCTGGTCCTTTCTAAGTCTTTTGTTTGATCTCTACTGGCTTTGTTTCGCCGGCGTAGCGATGCCGTGCCATCACGTCCGTCATGGCCGGCGCCAGTCTTGTTCCGTGTCATAATCAACCTCCGTAGTGCCACAGATCGATGCATCTAGTCGTTGTGAACGTTTTGGTGCTATGGCCGTCGCTGTTGGGCTCAACGGCGGCGAGTTCGCATCAGTCAGCGCCGTTGTCGTCGCGGTCAAAGCCGGAGCTTAGGGATGACAAGTGGGTCCCGTATGTCAGCGACTGTATAGTTCCAATTGAATTTTTCTATTTTCAGAAATGGATGAATAGTGTCTGTTTTTGTTATTTTTGTGTAGATTTGTTTAGACCTCCAAAAATTATGAAAATTTTTGTGTGATCTCTCTGTGATGAATACTATTTAGGAAAAATATTAAACTTGAAATTTGAATAAATTTTTAATGTTCAAAAATTTAGTCAATTAATTGATAAATGCAATTTCCATAATTTTTGTAGGTCACTGTATAGCTCCAAAAATTATGAAATTTATTTTGGTACACTAATTTGTCATGAGGAAGCTTACATAAAATTTTGAGGTCATTTGGAATATGTTTATTTTTGGGCTTATTTCCAAATTAATTCAAAAATAAATAAAAGCAAACCCTAAGTGTTTGATCTTGTTTTGGTCATGTTTTGTGACTAGTAGGGTTTCAAGATCAGTTTGGTCAAGTCACATGTGTG